AGGTACAAAGCGACGGAGGAGTTCGCTTGTGTGATTGGACGGTTTAAAGGGTAATTTGGAACGCTGCCACCAATCAATGGTGTCCGACGTAGCTGATATCGCTAAGCGAAAATCCGACTTACGGCTCGCCGCCAATCCCTTGTATCGGGATTGGCTGCTGGTAATAGACGCCCTGGTTTTATTGCGACCGAACCAACCCTTCGATCTGGATCCGCCGGTTCGGGTCCCGAGGTGAAAGGCGAGAGGATTTTACGGAAATAAAACGGAAACTGGGCTAACGAGGGAATTTTGAAATACGACCCATCCCGGGAAAATCTTTCCCCGGTCGTCGAGCAATAAAACCGCGTGTTCGAAATCCCATCAAATCGGTGCAATTGATAGGGAAGAAATTTTTAACCGGCACTTCGAGGTAATCCAAAAGAACCGCGAACCTCCAATAGCTTCCAATAACGCAGTTAAAACATTTCTTAAATGACGATTTGAAAAAGGTGTATGGAAAATGTTGATGAACAAAAATATTGTCTTAGCTAGAGAAATTTTACGAACTGTGTGCACAATCTCAGTTGCAACACATGATTCTGTCAACGCGGATAACTCCACCGATCATGGTTGACAGTTCATTAAAAAATCCGCCTTTGAATCGGCAAAGTCCCGTGGATTTTAGACCTTTCCGGAATATGCGTGTCGATATTCGGTTCAGTCATAAACCATTCAGGACAGGTTTCATTCGAAGCCCGGCACGTTAAAGTCCAACGGAATTGAATGAAGCAAGTTCTACCGATTGAATGAACCAAGATCTACCGACAGACGACTACGACTCATAGACATTTCATAAGATGTGAAGAACGGGCGCAATCTTCACTGCAACACATGATTCTGTCAACGCGGATAGCTTCACCGATCATGGTTGACAGTTCATTAAAAAATCCGCCTTTGAATCGGCAAAGTCCCGTCGATTTTAGACCTTTCCGGAATATGCGTGTCGATATTCGGTTCAGTCATAAACCATTCAGGACAGGTTTCATTCGAAGCCCGGCACGTTAAAGTCCAACGGAATTGAAACAGAAGGGTTCAGCGTCCCATCACGGAGTGTCCTGCGGGACGCAGGACGTTCATGGGCAATCCTGGAGCGGACATTGCAGAACTTTCCCGCGACGCATTACCAGGATACCTTATACAGAGGACGAGGCACCAGGCATGGTTTTATATATCAATAAGAACGCGTACCTCCGGGGAATTCATGGTAGCTCCCCTGCGCGATCCGATCCCAGAACGGACGCCCAACGCGCATCTCCCTCGCCCTACGGATTACGGTCGCGTTTACGGCACTGTTTAATTGCCCTTCTTTTTTATTGCCTCGACGGCAACCACTTCCCTCGTTTTACAACTGGCCGGTCCACATCGAGACGTTACACCAAATCCTACGGATTACCGTAACAAGCTCCCCGCCATTCTCGGAGGTTGCGGACTTCCGGTGAGAGGTAAAACGTCACGGGATCCTGGAGGAATTGACTTCCTTTAATGGAAATGACCTCGTCAACCTTAATTTCAAGCAATTACCGGTATAAATTCTTAACAGATATGGATTGAAGGACCTCGCAGAAGTGTTGGGTAACGAGGAAGGGATCAGCACCGAAGTGCATGAGACACTTTTTTGCCTTTACCCCGTTCAAATCCGAGTTTCTCGATTACCAGAGTGTCCTAAATTGTCGTACAATCGTCCTGACAGCTTTGTATCTCATATTAGAGCCTTCAGTAATTGTATATCGATCGAAATGTGAGAGCTTGGGGGCATTTTGGTTCTGGCCCGGGCTACGTTAAAGAACTTCTTTCAAAAATGAAAATCTTAAGTGTTAGGATAATTCCTAGTAGTCATGTGTCAAAGTTTCAGCCAGTTCCATCCTATACCCTTAAGAAAAATGTGTCTTATTAGAATGGGCTGATTTTCCCTTCATCTTAAATCACGTTCCCTTCTCCCCCAAATCTCACTTAGGAGCTGATCCTTTTCCCAAAATCAGCCTACCTGTAAATTCCCTCTCGGGGAAGGAAAGAAAAAATGAAATCCGAGGAAAGATAGGAATCCACGATTAGGAGATACATTTTGGTACTGACCTGGGCTGCATTAAACAATTTGTTTGAAAAATGAAAATCTTCAAAGTGTCAGGACAATTCCTAGTAGTCACGTAGGTGCTGATCCTTTTCCCAAAATCAGCCTCCCTATAAATTCCCTCTCGGGGAAGGAAAGAAAAAATGAAATCCGAGGAAAGATAGGAATCCACGATTAGGAGATACATTTCCGACGGATTTTTCCTGGCGGAGTAATAGCTGCCACTCGGAGAAAAACCCTGCCGGATAAATCGCTCGGTAGAAGACACTTTCCGGGAGAGATCCGCGGCCATTCCCGACGGATGAGGAAAAGAGGAAAAGCAGGAGCGGGGAAAAAATTCACGGGGGAGAAGGACAGGCCGACAGGCGTTTGTATGGCCGCAATTCCGGCGAAGAATACCTCTGGGTATTTAAGGGATAAAGTGCCGCTTAGAGCTAAACGCGTCTTCGGGTGGGACAAGGTGGACACCATTCGGAGGGTCGCGCGTTATACATATGAAACGGAGAAAGGGATGATTCCTTCGGGAGAATTGAAATACGTTTCGGGCTCGGTATAACTCGGGATACACACTGGGGTAAACGATTCGATGCCTCGTGCCACACAAACTTCGCCTTTCCCACTTTCGTCCCAGGATGCGGCTTTTCCGCAGGAAACGCTCCGCGCGAAATCTGAACCGTCTATGTAAGAACATAATCTCTTACGGAATACCTTGAATCATTTGATCGCGATTTACTAAGCAGGTTTAAGGCGATATGAAAGTGACATCTGAGGGGGGCAAGCGATTATGAAACTTTTTTACGAAGGGAGGGAAATTAGTCGTTTGAGGTTTCACTATTGCCGGACAATCTCCAGGCCTTTGAGAAAGTCCTGAACTTATGAAGTCAGTTTTATAGAAATACTGTTCTTACACGAAGTCATGAACTCAGTTTTGCGGGAAAATTGTTCTTACAGGAATTCATGAACTCAGTTCTGCAGAAAAAATTGTTCTTACAGGAATTCATGAACTCAGTTTTGCGGGAAAATTATTCTTACACAAACTCATGAACTCAGTTTTGCAGGAAAATTATTCTTACAGGAATTCATGAACTCAGTTTTGCAGAAAAAAATTGTTCTTACAAGAATTCATGAACTCAGTTGTGCAGAATTTAGTGGTTACCACCCATTCAAAGCCGCCTTTAATTTTGCCTTAATTGTAACAATCGCTAATCGTTAGTGAACTTAGTCGGCGACTAATGTTCATTATGTCGTTCCGCGCAGAACAGAGTACTTTGCCGTTTCCGGAACTCTCTCTCTGAGGGAATGCGACAACTTCAGGCACCTTGTAAATCGGTGTCGGAATTCCCTCTCCTGAGGGAGATCCAGCGACGCGGCGTTTCGCGGATTCGCGGATTCGGGCGTCGCGACGCTTTCCAGCTGTCGCTTGTACGTCTACCTAGTGAATCGCTAATTCCCCCCTTAATCCGCGGGAATCCCGGCCGAAATCCCGCTGCGGTCCTTCCGCAAGCGGAGACGTTCCCTCGAATCGGACGGGACTAGATTAACACCGGACTGATATCCCTAGACTGGGACCAGCACTGGGGAATTCCCGAATTCGGCAAACCGCAGCAACTTCGCAGCATTAATTGTCAGCCTGTCTCGTTCTGGGACTAGATTGATCGGACCTGCTGGATGCGAGGGACTATTCACTGGAAAATCAGTGAAAGCGATTTCCTTCTTTAAGGGTTGATTGCCTTTGATTTCATGTGATGATGATTTCCTTCTTTGAGAGCCGATTGCCATTTATTTTATATAAAAAACAATAATGCGATTCGGTAACGACGTTCGGCCTTAAAAGTGTTGCTGTTTTGGTGACTTCCAATGATTTCCAGTCATTTCGCAAGAAAAGAAATATGAACGATACCAAAGAAATATGAACGGTGCCAAAGAAATATGAACGGCGCCAAAGAAATATGAACGGGACCAAAGAGATATGAACGGCGCCAAAGAAATATGAACGGCGCCGAAGATATATGAACGGTACCAAAGAAATATGAACGGTGCCAAAGAAATATGAACGGCGCTAAAGAAATATGAGCGGTGCCAAAGAAACATAAACGGCGCCACAGAAATATGAACGGCGCCAAAGAAATATGAACGGCGCCAAAGAAACATAAACGGCGCCAAAGAAATATGAACGGTACCAAAGAAATACGAACGACACCAAAGAAATATGAACGGTACCAAAGAAATACGAACGGTACCAAATTTAAATCAGTCGTTCCTGGCCATGAAAACGTAATTCCAGGTTTTCTCGTTTTCTCTGGGAAATCTAATGAAAACCCAAAGCCGCGAACAATAATTACGGATGCGTAACGGCCGCGACTCCACCAAGACGAAATTACGGCTCGGGTGGGTGCTACCAATTATTGGCTAATCAATCCTCGCAGAATTAATCTTCCCTGCCGAGCGTCCATTACGCTCGGTTGAGGTGATGCCGGAGACCCGGATTCGATCGCCTATTCGTATTAACGTCACTCATCCGAATTCTATTATGCGAAACGAGAGAGCACCTCGTCAATCGGCGGCTTTATGGTGCTTAATGCGTTTAAGTGTCGCTACACGACTCGATCGCTCCCTCGTTCTTGCCGAGGATTAGCTCGGCTTAGGCAATGACGTGCGTCCCCAAATTGGATAAATAAATCATCCGTGGATTAAATATATACCGATGCCGATGAAAAGGCTCATTCGGTCATCCCAGGAAATGGTGTTTCACTTCTGGATGTTCGCGGATGGTCTCCTGGTGAACGGATTACGTGGGAGGGTAGCCGGATCATTAAATCCGGCGTTTGGTAAAACGCGGCTAGATAGTTAAATTTTGTAATTTGTTGTAATTTATTCTGGCGCCAAATAACCAATGATCGAGTATGTAAATTTACATGGGCAGTTTCATCAGGGTGTCTTATTTCATAAATGGGTAATCTGTACCGATGTTCATTTTATTGAAGAAGAAAGAAAACGTCGGCAGAACTTTATCTTCACTTTTTTTCTTCTTTTCTTATTTCAGGTTGAATTATTTAACGGCAGGCTTGACGCCGATGTGGTACCATGCAACTAACATTGCATTACATGCAGCTGCATGCATTCTGGTGACCAGAGTCAGCCTTGCAGTTGCATCTCTTCGCCCCGGATTTGCAGCATTAACTGGTCTTCTTTTCGCGGCGCACCCTGTTCACACCGAGGCGGTAAGTAATTGATAATTAAGTGTTGATAAAACGAAGAAATACATTTTTAAACCAGTGTTGATAAGGATAAAAAGTAGATGAAATAGTATTGATGAAGGTAGAAATGAATACATGAGTGATGAACCAAAAGTATTTTTTTGGGGTTTATCAACACTCAACATTTTGTTTGTTGTTATCATCCCGCATTTTACCCGCAGAGAGAGATTGTACACACCACTCCCAAGGCTTGTGTCGAGACTCGAAATTGGGGCATTTGAATAGTATGCGTTGAGTAAAAAAGTTTTCCAGTATCAGCAGTTGATAGCAGACATGCGAAGGTATCAACAATGCCTCTGGGGTCCATATCAATGCGTGCCGGGGTGATTTTGCCGACAATGGCGAACCTCCAGGTGCACACTCTGCCAGGATGAAATTAACGCCCTCGCGGATGTGCAAACGTTTCCGGGATCCGTGGATCATTTCTCCCTCCTCGTCCTCTTCGGGCTTACAAAACCTGTCAGTTAACAACGGCAGGGCATAATAATCATTAATGCAATCGACAAGGCGCGTTCGGACGGGCCGATTATTCTCGGACAATCGCGGCCATTCGATTCGGCTGGACAAAAGAGCGGGAAAAGAGGGGAAGAATGGAGAAGCGAGAGCGCAGAAGTAATTATGCCCTTTGGCCTAACCTCGAAAAAGCGAGCTGGTGATAGAGCCGCTGCTACGCGACGACAGCAACCCTTGATATTGTGGCTGATCAGTTGATGGGGTAGGCGGTGATGTTTAGGAGACTAAAATCCACTCTTAATGAACAGGTGTTTCCCGAGGATTAGGCTTCTTGATTTTAATATCTTTAATTCCAGTTCCATCATTCTTAACCCCAGGACTTTTCTCTGTATAGCTGATTTGATTGGCATTCGTGATTTAGGTAACATCATCCGTGAAAGATCTAGGTTGAATTTGGAAGGGCCGTTGGGCTTCTCCTTCTTCAGACCAACTTGAGTTCCATGGAGAACGCTTTCATTAGGTCTGAATGGTGAAGCGAGAGCGCAGAAGTAATTATGCCCTTTGGCCTAATCTCGAAAAAGCGAGCTGGTGATAGAGCCGCTGCTACGTGATGACAGCAACCCTTGATATTGTGGCTGATCAGTTGATGGGGTAGGCGGTGATGTTTAGGAGAGTAAAGTCTTTATCTGTAATTCCAGTTCCTTCATTCTTAACCCCAGGACTTTTCTCTGTATAGCTGATTTGATTGGCATTCGTCATTTAGGTAACATCATCCGTGAAAGATCTAAGTTGAATTTGGAAGGGCTTCTCCTTCTTCGGACCAACTTGAATTCCACGGAGAACGCTTTCATTAGGTCCGCAACTCCTGGTAGCGTGCACTACGTGCCTCGGAATAATTCTAGAGCAATTTCAACTGTTTCTGTTCCACGTGCCCCTGCTCTCCCCTCTCTTTGTGTCCATTGTAGGCTCGGTCAGCTTGCTGGTCACGCACTGCATCCCGTAACATCCCGGTCTGGTATCTCCCGTACATCGCGATGGTGTACATACACCGACGTCACCTTGTAGCTTCGGCTGCGATCACGCAACGCGTTGTTTCCCCTTGTCGGACCAGTTTGCGGTGCGCTCGTGTTTGCTCAAATGATCAACGCGATGCTCCAGGGACCCCAATTCCTTGATGGAAGGAACGCGTCGACTCTGTCGCAAATTGAAATGACCAACTGGTAGGGTAGGGTTTGGCTTGATTGTTGGAAGCGCCGCTCTCTCTCTTGTGTGCAACATTGATGACACACCGGCCACTTGACTTCGCGTGGTTAATCCACCGGACTAACTTGTTGGGTGTAGGGAGCTGAAACGATTCTGCGGTAGAAATCCCAATTTCGAGGCTAGATGCTTCCATTCGTTCATCGGCGTGATGGTACGGAGTAATTTCTTAAATCAATGACGAATTTATACCTTGACTTTGTATTGTTGGGTCAAGGCCAGACAGGCGTTTTTACCTGAACCGTCTTCTGGGGGATTTGTAGCCAAGATACTTCGAGATAGCTTTAATGCTAGGGAGCCAAAGTTTGTTACGCGCAAGTGGGTTCATGAAGTGCGGTGCAACTTGGTCACTAAAGTTTGGATGCCTCATATGAAGCTTCTGGGATGTTGTGTGTCCTAGGGACTTCTGATGATCGACTCCATACATCATAGACCCCAATTGGTTAATGAAGGGAACACGTCCATAAGAAATTGGAATGATGAACAGATCAGATGGGGCATGGCATGTTTGGGTTGGAGTCGCAGGTCATATGTGTACAACGTGCAGGGAATTGAAGGAGAAAAGTTTCACGAACCAGACCTCTTTGGTGCCACTTTAACGTCATCTTAAAATCGACCATGGGGTTAAAATTAGTACGTCTGATCTCGAGAGGTTTAAACAGCTGAAAAAACCACATTTCACGTTTATCTTGTGCTCTGCCTTGATAAGGCGAATCATCCCCAGGGCGAGTGCGTGTAGCTGACGTCTCGAAAACGTAGCAACGTGGTCGTAAATGTTCTCCACTCTGATGGGGTGAGCCCAAAGCTGAAAGTTAATCCAGGAACCCGAAAAAGTCGGACCCGCCCGAGTTGGGTGTCCGACCATTGGGGTCCTGGGTTTATGGGAACGATCCCTAGGGGTTTATACGTGTTTGCATCCCAACCCCTTGACAGCACTTCGCCTGGAGAGATCTTACGGACAGAGTGACGGGGTCAGAGAGGGGTGGACGGTGATATATGCTTCGCGGGAAATTGAAACGGAAGGCGAAAGCCGGCCCATCTGACTATAAGTTAAATTAGAAGCGGGCTAACCCCTTGGATGTCTGCTTGTTGAATTGCGGTGATAACTCCGAAGTTAAGTACAATTTGCCAGGGCAGCTATGCTGATTATCGGAGTAATGTCCCAGCAATAATGGGACTGTTGAAGTTACCGTATCTTTTTCCAGAAACAATGATTTATTGCGCCTGACCTAGGAGGACTTAGCCTTCTTTTTCATGACTCACCAGCAGTGAAGTCAATTAGAAGTGCTAATTTGTTGTGTTTCACTTATGACGATCATCTTTAGCCTGCCTTCTTCATTATGTTAGGTTCACTTTGCGATTAATCAAATTAAGGGCGAACCAAACGCTAAATGGCTGCTCAGTGGGTTAATTCTGGAGTGTAATTTCCCAAGACAACAATGGAAATTATTTAAGCACTGGCAGTAAATGTACTGTTTAAGGTATCATTACAATCTTTCTCGGGAGCTGTGATTTATAGGACTTCATTTTGGAAAGAACTACCGTCCATTTTATACATTATTGGCACAGGGGAATTCCCTGATCGGAAAAATGTAAATCATAGGGATGAGGCTTTTCTACTTTATATGTACAGTTAACACGCAACCCTGGACCTCCATTTACTTTCTGATCATATTCTAAGGACGCACAGGGGACTCGTTCGTTTCTTACCGCGTTTATTGAATCTTGCCCAAGGGACGAATTTTTCAAGTATATATACGTATATACACGAGAAGCGTTTTTCTAAAACATATATCCATCCTCTACCTACAAGCAACCTTCGTAAACGCTGTATGCAAATGACCTTACGACACCTTGCAACATTTTCAAGTTATTAATTTTTAGTTTCCTGGTATCTTTAAAGCTCGTTTATATATTTATTGTTAAGGTCAGGCAACAGAATGAAGTACTAGTTTCAATAAAAGAAAAATCGATGCCATGGAAGATCAAACGAGGCAACGAGTTGAGTTTTCAAAGTGTCAGAAATGAACTTAGCGAAAGATGGAAACATTTGCGAGAAATTTACGACTTTTCGGGAATTAAGGAAATGGCAACTGTGTCATTTTTGTTCAGCTTATTTTCGAGATGGATTAGGAAGTTTCCTGACAAAGACATTCGGACGAAGAGGAAATCCGAAAAAAGGAGATCAGGGTGCTGGACATCCAGGGGTCTCATAAATAGCGCCAGAAAATTGAGGATAAAGGAAATGAAGCAATAGTAATTTTCATCCAGCTTATTTTCGAGATGGATTAGGAAGTTCCCTAAGAAAGACATCCGGTTCGAGAGAAGTTTCCTAAAAAAGACATTCGGACGATGAGGAAATCCGAAAAAGGGAGATCGGGGTGCTGGACATCCAGGGGTCTCATAAATAGCGCCAGAAAATGGAGGATAAAGGAAAGAGGGTGCGGTAACGAACGGGCGCTTTATTCTATCGGGGTTTAAAGTAAATGTCGGGGGCGGCAAGGGGTTAGGGAAATGGGGTCGGTTACGATACGGTATCGAAGGCTATCCGGACTGAAATTCCCCCGATGCAGGAGAATTCGGGAATTCGATGTCGCGGCCCACTCGTAAAAATCGCTTCTCTTATTTCCGGGGGAAGTTCAACCCCCGTGGATTTCATTCTTATCGAGGCCCTAGGAATTTCGGAAACTCATACTCCTGGGCGATTATATCGATCAGCTGATAACCTGACACGGAGCCATTCCGCAAATGGGGAAATGCTTACTTAGGATTCTTGGCTTGAATTTACGAATTCGGTCTTGGCACCTTGAGGAACTTAGTTCCGAGGAAGTGCGCAAGATACCCTAGTGGAATACAATAATTTAGTAAGTAAGGATAAGTAAGGAATAATGGAGGTAGCATTTCCATCATCATCCGATTCGAGCATCTTGTGCTCTCTTCAGCTTCCTGGGGTTTGGGACGTCGACGGAAGGGTACCTACCCTTCTGCACCTTTGAAGGAAAGTGTAATACACTCGTTACACTCGAGGGTGGAAAGTGCAGACAACGCGAAGGGACCTTATACATCCACCTTAATCAGCAAAGAAACGAATACCATGAACGCCGTCGACGTCGAGGACGCCGACGACGTCCTGGAGGCAGCAGCCCGAGGTTAAAGTGATTTATCTCAGATTTATGGAAGACCAAGTCGAGCCGAAAGTTTCACGGGGAGTTGGGGTGGAAAGAATTATCGCGCCCCAGGACAATGGACAG